TGGTCAGAACTGGGTGAAAATTCATGAAAAGAGTGAGTTTTTACTTACTGGCTTCACCAAAACAAGAAGACAGGTGAGTTGCTGTCAGCTTGTTTCTCTTTCTTTGCTTCATTGCTTAAGAATAAAGGGATCTGAGTGTGTTTTTATTTTTTTTATTTTCTTTTAAATTTTTTTTTTAAAGATTTTATTTATTTATTTGATAGAGAGAGACACAGCAAGAGAGGGAACACAAGCAGGGGGAGTGGGAGAGAGAGAAGCAGGCTTCCCGCCGAGCAGGGAGCCCGACGCAGGGCTCAATCCCAGGACCCTGGGATCATGACCTGAGCCGAAGGCAGATGCTTAACCCAATGAGCCACTCAGGTGCCCCAATAAATTTATATTTATATAAAACCTCAAAATTATTATAGTCTATGTTTATTTCTCACTATATAGTCCCTTTAACTGAGATCCAGCCACCTGACATATTTAGGTGGACTTGAATTGATACGAAAAAATAAACTAATTCTCTCAAAGACAACAAAGCAACATTGTCTCTTTCATCAGAGATTCTAACATCTGTTACTGTGATTACTATCACCACCCATCTTCATCCCTAAAAGATTATTACAACTGTTCAGCCAGGTCAGTGAAGAGCCTGTACTTCCACAAACTGTCAGCTTCCTTTTCCATGAAAGGGTTTATCTTTCTTAACCTTTTTCTTAATCATTCAAGTACTCTGCCTCTTCATGACCTCTACTTTAGATCATTACGGAAAAGAGGCAAAACACTGCTCACGTAAAGGCTTCCTAGACTCTAAAACATCAAAATTCCAAATGTTTCTCTGGTCTTAGAAGTTATATCCAGCCTACCTTGAAACTAATGAGGAAAATAGTATGTTTACCATAAAGTCAAATAGATGACATTTGATCAGCAAATATGAATTCAGGAATTTCAATAGTATTCTGGGCAGAAAACAATCAAAATGAGGGAATGGCATATTTTCTAGTTTTCTAAACAAAGTATGGGTCTTGGTAGCAAGTAATTTAAGCAAGTAGCAAGTAAGTTTTTCTAATTGTACTGATTCACTCAGAAACCTGGCTGGGTGAAAGTTTTTGTTTGGTAAGACTTCTTTAAGAAAATGATTGTGCCCAAGTATCTGAACATCTCTGAAACTTTATCTTGCTCTTCATTAGAAAAAATAAGGGATGTGTTTTAGAGCACCGTTACACATGTTTATTATCAGAGGTCGTCTCTGATCAAGAAGCACCAGCCCACTGCACTTTGGCTTATTAAATGTCGGCCTCAGGTTAGAAACTATCAACTGAGAGATGTTCCTCATCTTATTTTAAAAAGTTCACTGTATATCCACTTTTTCCACCCAGAAAAGTCTATAAAACGACACAATACCATTGGTGATAAATTCTTCCAATTTTACACTTTGCATTCCCAGAGCTGCACTAGCGGGACTTTGGGAGTTTAATCACACTTTCTCCATGAATTCTTTTAAGCCAGTTTCGGCATTCTGCCATCAGGCTTACTGACAAGTCACTTTAGGGATCCACAAGAACAGAGTCAGGGCTTACAAAGCAGTCACCACACCAGTATTCAAGTTTTTAGGATTCAAAATGAGATTATAAACACTAAAGATGTTATTCTCTAGAATGCCTTTTTCTTCCCTTTCCAAAATTTATAGCAAAACTTCCGCTGCAGAATATCAGGCAGTTCCTCTGACGAAATGATCTTTTTAAAGTCTACTGTAAAACACCTATTCATCTATGTGTTCATTCTCTGGTTCACTCTATCCCAGTAGTGTACTTGCAAAAACAGTAGCACACCACCTAGGTGAGCTCCATTCCATTTTCTGCCCTCGATCTTTTAACAGCAGGTATGAAAAATTTGTGCCTGAAAGATGTTGGGTGTAGAGCAAAGAACCACGGGAAGAGCTGTTTTCTGCGAACATGATTCGTAGGTTGATTTTTCAGAGCAGCCAGAGGTGGGCATGTGGCAGGACCCGATAAACTGGAAAGATTCCTCTACAACGTTGTCAAAATCATGCTGTTCTAATATTCCCCTCAACGGTACCTGGAAAAAAAAGAAAAAAGTAATACAATATGGTTAAATACTGGAAAAGATTCTAAATTGAGAACACGCCTCACTCAACAAAAAAGATCAGTGTTTATGAAATAAGGGTCTGTATCTGAAAAATTAGCCGAGTCCGCGCTGAATTCTAAGCACCAGGACAGGACACCAGGGACTTGGAGCCCCACATCCTAAAGCCTAGAAAGATCACTGGTCCTAATGATACTAACTTCTGACCGCTCACAAAGCGCCAGGCACAGGTCTCATGCGCCCACGTATTAACAGTTCTACGCCCCCGCCCCCAAGGACACTACCGCCCTCATGTTCCACGTGACAACAAAAGCACGAGGGGAAGAGGGCTGGCCACCCCACACAGGCGGTAGCAGACGAGTTCAAACTCTGGCTGTGGGTCTTTGCAGCCTGTGCCTTTCCTATTTGTTCAACAAAGCGGTTGTTGCTCAAGATCAAACGTAAGGAAAAAGGTAGCCACAGACATTCAAGGATTCTTTGGGTAGCATGGTCAAATTTCGGGTAGGTCAAGGCAGGGGTGGCGCTCTGAGGTACTCCAGAAATTAGGGGTCGCCCCGAAGAAGAAGGTCGGCCTCAGCGAACAGGAAAAAGAGGAGGGAAAGAAGGACCGCGCGTGGGGAAGACGCGGCAGCCCGTCCCGCCCGAAGCTCCCGGCCCGGGGCCGGGGACGGAAAGGCGAGAGTTCCTTGGGGAGGGAGGCACCTCCCACCCCACGGCCTGGCACCCAAGGGCACCTCAGCTCGCGCCCCGGGGCCACCGGAGGCCCCGCAGCAGGGGAAGGCGCCGCCAGACCCCGAGTCCCGAAATCCACTGCCCCCTTCCCGGGAGCTTTGGGGGCCGGGCGGTCGCCAAGGCACGGCCCCCACGCGGAGCGCGCTGTGATTGGCTCCAGCTCCCCTCGGGGATAACGGGCCCGGGTTCTTACTGGTCCCGGGCGACGAGCGGGACTCCCGCGAGAGTGTGCGCAGGCGCGAGAGCAGGGCCCTCGGTCCCCACGCTCTCCGGCTGTCGGGCCGCGAGCCCACAGCTGGGACTAGGGCGTCGGGTGTTTTTCGGGCGGGTCGTCTGCTCAGCTGCGGCCCAGGGTGGGCAAGGGCACTCGCCTCCGCGCCGCTCCGCGTCCCTCCCCCAGTGGCGCGGGTGGGGAGCCGGCTGCGCCGGATGCTGGGGCCTCCCGCCGCCCCCCGGGAGCGGGTCCGTCCGCGCGGAGGCTTCGGCACGAGCGGCGCTGACCCCGCAGGTCGCTGTGGGTCCCTCCGTGGGCGTCTCCGTCCAGGACACTTCCCTAGACTGGGGGGCGGCGGGACCCGCGGGGGCGTCGGGAAGGGGAGCGGCCCCGGGCCGCACGCGGGCTGCTGCTCCCCGTTTCTCCGCCTGCCGGTGCTCTGCGGGTGCCGGGGATCCGCCTCTGAGAAACGGGGGTCACAGACCTTTGTAAGGCGGTGGTGGGTCTGAGGGGTTCCTCCTACACGGGAGCGCCCGGGGCTGTGCCTGGCGCCCAGGAAGAGATAGAAGTCATTAGCAAGAGAAACGGTAACCGGTAAAATGTCAAACAAGGCAGTAACCAAGGTACACCGACCCCGAAATATGAGCGTGTCAGAATAAAAGTCACAAAGCCGACAGAAAAAACACGTCCGCGGCGCCACGCCCGGTACTGCTCCCAAACCACAGAACAGGATTGAATGAGATCTAACAAAAGACTTCTAATTTCAATGTGGCGTAAAACATCACTAGATGAAAATGGACAGTCGAGAAGAAAAAAACTGATGGTACACACCCAAAAAGCCACAAAGGAACACAAACTTAGTGAAAACACAGCCCAAAAGCCGAAAGTACCCCACGACTTTCAGTTTAAGTCTTTAAGAGAAATCTAACCAAACAGACACCCAACATACAGACACGAAGTTCACCACCAAAAGATAAAAAGGAGCAACACTCTACCCACGAAAACAGCCGCAAAACAACAATGCCCAAACCATAGATCAAACATGAGTAAGCAAAAAAAAACCCACCCAGAAAGCGCACAGCCAACTCCACCTCCGTAGTGTAATCACGGTGTTCACCTCAAGAAAAAAAGTCCAAGCCAGAAACCAACACAAATAAATCCAATCGCTAGACATATATATTCCTCAAAAAAAACAACAACAGCACACCGAGGTAAACAAGAGAGCAAAGCAACTACCTTCAGCAAAGGCAATAATCCGAGAAGCCAAGGAGCGAGTACCACAACGGACGAACAAAACCCCAGACAGCCAACGGAACCCTCACACCCTCCTCACTCTCAAGATCTCAGTCACTCATTCGAGAGCAAGAGCATGCGTAAGAGCAGAGGGAGAGGGAGAAGCAGACTCTCCGCTGTGCAGGGAGACCGACTCAGGGTTCGATCCCAGGACCCCGGGATCATGACCTGAGCTGAAGGCAGACGCTTCACCGACTGAGCCACCCAGGCGCCCCATTACATTTTTTTAAAATAAAAATATCTGAGGTTTTTGGAGCACTGCTGTGTCTCAGCTATGGTTCAGGTCTTTGCAGGTGAAACATCTTTGTCCGGTGGGTACTATTATCCCCATTTTAAGGGTGAGAGAGCTGAGGCACAGATCGGTTGAAAAGCTTGCCTGGAGTTCTGCAGTTGTGAGTGATGGATGCTGGATTCGAGCGCAGGTAGTCTGACCCCAGCATCGGATTTCTGAGCCATGGACTTAGAGCTTTACTCCTGTATTCTCCCTGGTTTGATGAATTCTCTTTTTTAGACTCCCTGAGAATTACACTAACATATTTAGAGAAATCTATTAAATGTTATGTGTGGATATTGTTGGAGTCTTTTAAAAAAGATTGTGAGGGAGAATTAATACCTGTGGTGTACTCCTCAATTAAAAAAAAAATCCCTTTTTCTCTCTTCTCTTTGACAGTGTGTTAAAGCTGTAGCATATGCCGTGAGGTTATGAGGAGGTTTCTGTTACTCTATGCTACACAGAAAGGACAGGCAAAGGCTATAGCAGAAGAAATATGTGAAAAAGCATTTGCACATGGATTTTCTGCAGATCTTCACTGTATTAGCGAGTCAGATAAGGTAAATGGTTACTCATGGTTTTACTGTTTTATGCTTGAAGTATTTTGGTTGGGAGGCGATGTTAAACAGCGAAGTAGGCTGCTAAATGCCTCCATACTTTTTTTTCAACACTCAAATTTACTTTATCAACTGTGTTGTAAGATTTGTCGTTTTTCTAACAAATCAAGTGTACATTTGAATTAGACTAAACAGTCTCAAAAACCCGAAACAAGTAATTACTCCTCAACCATAAGGGGAAGTAGTAGTGTTTGCCTTGTTTATCTCTCAGTGCCCCCGTGAGAACGAAAGAGGTGTGTGTTCACCTGCACATGTGTGTTTTCCAGCTCACAAATCCCAGTGCCCCGTTTGTATTTCCCCAAAATAAAGACCTTGCCATTCATGTCAGAGTTCCTTCAAGTGAAGGACCATGCAGTTCTTTTGTGGAATAGAATTTAAAGCAGAAGTGTAAGGATCTAGAGAAGATTGAGCTTCTTTAGGTCAGGGACTGCTTATTTGTATTCTCAGTCTCTGCTGAAATTCCTCCCTTAGGTCACGTAAGATTGTAACATCTGTATTCTTCTTTCAGTTAGTCTGATTGAGTTCTCCAGATTTTACTGTCTTAGACAGTGTAGTCCACAGCAACTAGCAGGAGCTTTTGTATAAGCCCAAGTTGACGTGCCAGCCGCTAACAAGTCAGATTTAGTTCAGTACTTTAAAAATTACCCTGCTTGTACGTTGACTCAAGTTCATAACCTCCTCTGGCCTTCCCCACATCTCTAGTTCAAAAGACTAGACTGTCAGCAGCATAAGTGAATTATAAAGTCAGGTCATAGGAGAACCTTCATGTTCCTTTATGCGTCAGGGTCAAGGTGACTCCAGATGTAGCCACTCACCCAACAGGGAGCATCCCGGAGGACACCACCAATCAGCAGGTTCTGTAATCCTACAGTAACTTCAGTGTTGGCGTTGAGGATGCCACATGCTAGAATATAATCTGAATCTGTTATTACAAACAAAAAGTTGTCAGCACCATATAAGTAGCCCTGATTTGGCCCCTCGGGGTCACCTCACCACCTAGGCCAGCAGCTATTTGAACGTTAGGTGAATAGCACATGTTCTTTTTTTTCGTGCCATGTTAGTAGTCCTGTTTGCTCTCCCCAGCTGATTGATTTCTCCAATTCTTGATCCAAGTTTAAACAGATAGCTATCTACTTCCTAGGTCATGATAGTCCTTTCCGAGGTGAAGTTACTTTAACTGTAAAAGTTCAATACGCAGCTTGTGCTGTCCCCTGTAAGCATTGAATCACCTGGTAATCTGTTAGCTCAAATCTTTGTATCAGCGTGAAAAATAAGTGAATCCCTCAGAGTCAGATTCGATGATACACATGAGCAGTAGAGCTCATGGAATCATTAGAAATAGAGAGGGTGAGTGCTCTCTTTGGAATATTTCAATTTAGGTGAGAATTAGAATGAAGAAACTTGATCTGTAAGACATCAAATGCCGATGATCTCCATCTACCCACTCAGTATTCCCAGCTCCCTGGACCCGGAGGGGGTGAGGAGTGAGCCAGGTTCCGTGGTGTCTGAGGAGTAACACTTGCGCTTTCCCAACTTGGAAACGCTCCACACCCTCTGTGCTGTGAAGCCACATGAAGCACGGATGACTGGTTCTGGGTGGAGACCTAGCTGGTTGCCTTGCTGATGTGTTAAATCAAAACTGTGTACAGCCGGAGATCCCTGACATGCCGTCCTCATTTTGTAGTATGATCTGAAAACTGAAACCGCGCCTCTTGTTGTGGTTGTTTCCACCACTGGCACTGGAGACCCACCTGACACTGCGCGCAAGTTCGTGAAAGCAATACAGGACAAGGCTCTGCCGGCAGATTTCTTTGCTCACCTGCACTATGGATTACTGGGTACGGACTGTGTTTGCGTTCTGCCTGCCCTCAGTTATTCCTGGTTTTAATTCTGGTATTTGAATGTATCCTTCAAAACCATGATATATGGTTGTATAGATTTTGTTCTTGGTTTTCTATTTACAGTTACATGTTTTATACATTTCTATAATGTCCTCTGTTCTGTGAATGCCTCCTTTGTTTTCATCCCATAGCGGCTCCTCAGTGGAGCCCCTGGAGTAGCATTCTTAACCATGGGTGCATATCAGATTCAACTAGGAAACCTTTTCAGAATATCAACGGCTGGTCCACTCCCACCCCTGCCCAAACTTGGTTTAAAAAAAAGAAAGAAAAACCCTGAAGGAGCAACTCTGAATTCTATTTTATTGGGTTTTTTGTTGTTGTTGTTTTTAAGAGGAAAAAAGAAAAATCCAGAAGCTCCCAGGTAGATCTGATCTCCCTGAGAACCACTGCCCTAGGATGATTGCCAATCCCGGCCATATGTTAGGATCAGATGGGGGAGGTTTTCCTTGAATTCTGTTACCTGGTCCCACCTCCAGTGATTCTTACTTAATTGTTTGGAGGTGGAGCCCTGGCATCAGTGGTTTTAAAAACTCCTAGGTGATTCAAATATGCATCCCAGGTTAGGAAACACTGGCCTAGGGCTCTGTGAAGTATAGATTAAAAAACTAAGATAAAGGATCAGAAGGACCAGCTCAGTAAGATAGGACACCAGGGAGAGAATTCAGAGCCCGTATTCCTGGCTTGTGATCTGTGTTCCTTAAATCCTCCTTGAGAATTACTTTGGGGGAGGGTATCTGATAAAGATGGATTATGCTATGATAAGTAACTGATTAGAAATTTGAGGTTATGACCCTGGCTAAGATCTCTCTTGTATAACTTATTTTAGAATATTTACATTTTTTATTCAGGTTTTTCTAATTTCTTTATTTTGAAGAATGAACATGTATGTGTTGCTTTAAAAAAATTACTCAAAAAAAGTATCCAAGCATTCTAGTCACTCCGAGGCCATTTATGGACCCCCCCCCCAACAATTGCTCACCCTGTTCTTTTTTTTTGTGGAAGTACATGGAGATGATTAAACAACTGAGAAATTGATGCTTTTAATCTTAAATTTTTAACCAAGTATGAAAATGTTAGTCCATTTTCTTACCAGGAAACATAGCAGTTCCTAATTCATCTAACACAATGATTGTGTTGCAGATGTACCTGTCTATGCTCTCAATTAGGGGTCAGTAAAATCAATAAAGGCCAGATGATAAATATTTTAGGCTTTGCAGATCATGTGTTCTTTATAACAACTACTTAACTCTGCTGTTGCAGCTGGAGAGCTGCCATAAACAGTGGGTGAACAAGTGGACTTGGCTGTGGTCCAACACAGCTTTATGGAGAAAGACTGAGTGGTGTTTGGCCCACAGGCTGTAGTTTGCAGACCTCTTCACTAGATCAGAAAAGTCTGCAAATACAGATACTATGTTTTTTTAACCTAATTATTTTAAAATTATTTTTTAAGATTAATCTTTTAAGATTAAGATGAAATATTCTTTTAAGATTCCCATATTTTTACACAGATTCATGGAAACAAAAATGTGAAAATATTCCTGTTAAGAGTGGCCAAGAAGTGTTTGTTTCTGTTTTGATGGGCCTGGCACTTTAATATTGTAAAATAGAAGGCAAATATTTGTATTACTCAAGGAAAGCCTCAGAAGATATGAAGGTGTGCATTATTAATCAGAGCATGGAATGGTATTGTTTTAAATATTTGTATCTCTTCTTTAAATTTAAACCTTACTGTGTGTGCACTCATAACCTATTTGGGCTCCTTAGGGCTCGGTGATTCAGAATACACATACTTCTGTAATGGCGGGAAGATCATTGATAAGCGACTTCAGGAGCTTGGTGCCCAGCATTTCTATGACACGGGACATGCGGATGACTGTGTGGGGTAAGAGCAGCGTGCTTCTCCTCCGCCATTTCCAGTCAGCCCTTCTGTGTACTGGATGAAAGTTTGTGAGTTTATAAAATATGATGATTTTTGATTTAGCGCTGAAGCTTTTATTTTGAGAGTGTTATTTTCCTTTTGTTAGCTTTTTTTCTAGGACCAAAGATCAGCCAGGGCTTGATTTATGTATTCTGTTGACTTTTTTAAGTGCCTCGCGCATCTTGGTAGCTGCTAATGGAAGAAATTTGAAAAGATGCCCCAGGAAAGTTATCTTTGTCTTGAGGTGTGTAGGCATTTGTAGAAGTCCGCATTTTCTTTCTTTTTTTTTTTTTTGAAGATTTTATTTATTTATTCATGAGAGACAGAGAGAGAGAGAGAGAAGCAGAGGGAGAAGCAGGCTCCCAAGGAGCAGGGAGCCCGATGCGGGACTTGATCCCAGGACTCTGGGATCATGACCTGAGCCGAAGGCAGACGCTTAACTGTCTGAGCCACCCAGGCACCCGAAGTCCGCATTTTCTTTAGGAACTTTGATAGCCTGTGCGTTTGCTTCTCTGCCGTGCACGCACAGTGATTGGATGCGGGCCCTCACATGGAGGGTGCCCAGCAGAGAACACAGACCAGAGGCGTTCACAGCACGCTGCGTGCCTTGGCTCTCTCCTTACCATCCTAATGGCCGCTTGCCACCATGCCAGCCAGAAAAATAATTCCTGTTTCCATTAGTTTACTCTTGTTTTTACAGTTCGGTATTTCACCCTATGTGCTACCTTTCAAATCCTCTTCATGTCTTTATTCAAAGATCTTTTTTTTTTTCTTAAATTTTTAATTTTTTAAAGATTTTATTTATTTATTTGAGAGAGAGAGAATGAGAGAGAGCAAGCACATGAGAGGGAGGAGGGTCAGAGGGAGAAGCAGACTCCCTGCCGAGCAGGGAGCCCGATGCGGGACTCGATCCCGGGACTCCAGGATCATGACCTGAGCCGAAGGCAATCGCTTAACCAACTGAGCCACCCAGGCGCCCCTTTATTCAGAGATCTTATAGATGTTGTCCTACAACTAAGTTTATCATTTAGCCTTTGGCTATTTCCGCAGATGACAGCACAGCCACTTGATTTTTTTCCTATTTGGTGTATATATTAACTTCTTACTCACTTGATCTTTGTTTATGAATGACAAATTCAGCGAATGTCTTGCTTTTCTGCATAGCACCACCTTGCACAGATGTGCTGGAGACACTTCTCCTTCCACGTAGCTCACCCTCCACTTCATCATTTTCTTTGGTGGCGATGAGCTGGTTTTTCCCCACATCCCCAGTGCATATGGTCTTGATTGTGATGAAGCTCTACCATATTGCCTTGCATGTTCACCTTTTAGTTTTGTCTCTTTATATTGATTTTGTGTGTTTGTGGGTTTTGTTGTTTTTTGCCAGAGTCCTGTTGCCATTAAGTGTTTATTGTCTCATGAGCCATTTACTTGCTCACTTCTTCCAGAACCCATTGGGCCTATCACTGAGTTCATATTTTCTTTCTCTTCAGAGGTTTTCCGTTTCCCTGTTCATTTACTGGATCCAGTGTTAAAATTCTTGAATGTGTATTTCATCAGCCTGCATCTCTTAAATTTTCAACCTGACCACCTCCCTTGAATTTTTCCTCTTCTAAAATTATTTTCAAGGATATATCCTGGCTTAGTGTAGCAGCCCCCACACTGATGGGGTTAAGAACGCAGAGTGCAGTCCAGTTACCTGCATGCAGATCCTTGATAACCACTCTCCCCCTTCACTGACTGAAATCTTGGTCATGTTCCTTACCTTTTGTGTCTTTGTGGGCTTCACCTTCTCCCTCTGTGAAATAGGGGATAATAGTGTGTGCTGTGGAGATTTTTTTTGGGAGGAACAGATGAATTGATATAGGTTGTCCTCTTAGAATAATGTCTGCCCTGTAGTAAGTACTCCGTGGACATTAGCTCTCCTTTTTTTTTTTTTATTTGACAGAGACAGCAAGAGAGGGAACACAAGCAGGGGGAGCAAGAGAGGGAGAAGCAGGCTTCCCGCTGAGCGGAGAGCCCGATGTGGGACTTGATCCCAGGACCCTGGGATCATGACCTGAGCCGAAGGCAGATGCTTAACGACTGAGCCACCCAGGCGCCCCAAAATTAGCTCTCTTGTTGGGGGTGGTATTAATATTTCAGAGCTGTGAAAATGGTGTTTTAGACATAGCTGTCATTGTTGAACGCAGAATTTTATGTACTTGATTTTCCAAAGGCTCTGAGGGGTGGATGCGTGTACTAATGAGATTATAGCTAGAATCATAATAAGATGGAGGTCTGAAATGTACCTCCTACTGTCATTTAACTTTATGAATTAGAATTTAATTGATACGTCCTTTGAGTTGTGATTAAAAATGAGAAGGAGGTGATTTCCAAGATTCTGATGCACGGTTTCTTACCTGTTCAGTTTACTTCAAGTTTCTCCATGGGAATGTAGGGGATGTTGTTGTTGGCTTGCCCTACTTTATTAGTAAATATGCTACCACATTCTAAAAGGCACCTATGATTCATTCAACTTTCCTAAAGGAAAATTAGGGTTTTTTTTTTTTCTCATGTTCAGACTTCCTGAAAATTTCATCAGAAATGTTCGGAACCGGTTGAAGGTTTGAACTATTTATTTAGAATACCTAGCATTAATCCAGAGTGATTTTTTTGGTGATCTTTTAATCTATAGGGGAAAAAAAATCACTAAATTAGGGGGGGAAAATGATGGTGCATTTGACATATGTAATTATCATGTGATATTAGAATAGACTTGGATTTGGGATAAGTTCTGTTAACCTCATCAGAATTTCGCATGCCTACTTAAAATTACAACTTCTTAAAATATTGCCAACTATATTTTAGGAAGTTAAGTGCAGTCTCATTCCTGTTACCTATTACTTTTAAAATGCCTTCATTTTTGTTCTGACCTTTATATGTGCTCAATTTTTTTACAGGTGAAGTTCTAATGAGCACACGATAATGTTTTTAACTTAATGATAGATATCTTTTGTATTCTGAATAGTCATTGTATTTAGTGTTTTTGGCATTTGCATAGCATTCTGTCAAGTAGACTGCCATTGTCCCATTATTATATATTTAAATAGACACCTTAGGGATTTATTTTTTCCTTTTTTATTACAACAATCTAGTTTAGAACTTGTGGTTGAGCCATGGATTGACGGACTCTGGGCTGCCCTCACGAAGCATTTTATGGCCAGTAGAGGAAAAGAGGAGAGGAATGGGGCTCTCAAGATGGCATCTAATGCCTCCCAACGGATGGATCCTGTGAAACCAGAATTATTACGCATTGAATCACAAGTTGAACTTCTGAGATTACATGATCCGGGGAGAAAGGATTCTGAGGTGCGGGAACAGAATACAGTGAACAGAAATCAGTCAAGTGCTCCACCAGCAGAATCTGAGTCCTCACTTACCCACTCGGTACCCCCACTTTCACAAGCCTCTCTGAATATTCCCGCCTTACCACCAGAATATTTGCAGGTGCATCTGCAGGAGTCTCTCGGGCAGGTAAGTGGTTTTACTTTATGCTTCAGGCTGTAGAGTATTAACTTACCCAGGGTTTTGCTTTGTTGTTTATTAGATTACAACAGAGGTCAGCAAACTGCCCTGTTGGCCAGATGTGGTCCACTGCCTGTCTCGGAAGTAAAGCTTTATTGGGACCCTGGCCTGCCGGTCCTTTCCCATGTGGTCTGTGGCTGCTTCTGCGCTCTAGCGGCAGGGTTCAGGGGGTACCCTGAGTACCCTGGTACTCTGGCAAAGCCTGAGATGGTTACTGTCTGGCCCCTTACAGAGAAAGTTTGCCTGGGCATTGCAGAAGCACTTGTATTATATCACTTCTGCTTTGTTTCTCATTTTAGATGTGAGTCAGGTGATGGCCAGTTGTTGTGGGCACTTAGGAAATTACCTCAGCTACACTTGAAGCACTAATTTACAGTAAAATCTATTTTCCAGCATGGACTTGTGGTGTCCTGGGATGCTCCACTTTGGGGATTATTCTTTTTCTTTTTTTTTTTTAAAGATTTTATTTATTCATCTGAGACACAGAGATAGAGAGACAGAGAGCATGAGCAGGGGGAGAGGCAGAGGGAGAGAGAGAAGCAGGCTCCCCGCTGAGCCAGGAGCCTGATGTGCGGCTTGATCCCAGGACCCTGGGATCATGACCTGAGCCAAAGGCAGACTCTTAACCATCTGAGCCACCCAGGTGCCCCAGGATTAATCTTTTGCTTGGTAACATCTTACAGACCAGTTTTTGCCTATATTGCCATTTTTTTTGGTCAAGTGTATTTTTTCTAACAATAAAGAAGTGCCTTTAAAGTAGTATGTAAATTTTGAGCATTAAGTTGAATAACAACTCATTTCTCCTCACTAATGCCAGCATATGGCACCCTGAAACTTCTTCCAACATATCTAGAATAAATTTCCATTGCAGCCAATCTTTCCATGGAGAGCCACGCCCTCTTTCTTTAGAGTGGCTCATTGTGGGGTTCCACGTGGGCTTTCTCCCATAAACTTCACCCTCAGTGCAGGATCACGATTTGTTTCTTGATTTCTTATTTTAATGAAGCAGGGCTTAGACGCTTGAGAAGCAATTTAAATATAACTTTCTAGTAAATTAGAACTGTTGGCCAACACCTGATAGGATAGTGGTTTTTTAACATCTGCTTATAGTGTCTTTCTAGAGCATTCAGATAAACAAACGTGTTTATAGAAACAGCTGTCGGGTATTGTTTTCCACTTACACCTCATTATTTTGCAAACTGTTTAGTTACGTGAGGTAATTACAATGAGTACATTTTTGTCAGGCTTGGGTCTAGACAGGAGTGCATCCGGTAAGGCTGTGGCTGGACAGTGGGTGTGGGCGCATGGACAGGTAGAGCGCCCTGCTGCCTGCCACGAGGATGGTGCATGTGGCAGAGGCACGGGAACGTGATTTATCGGATGGGGTGCTTCAGGAGGAGGACCTGAGAACGCTTCCGGTATGGCACAGGTCGTTAAAGAGGCTTTAGTTGCTGGTAATGTGGTGGAAAGATTTTTAAAATCTCAACTAGTTAAGTCCTATTTGTGTACATTTGCTCAAGGGATACACTTAGAGGATAAGGGGTTGGAAAATGATTTTTTTTTTTTTTGGTGGGGGGTATCCTCTTGGGATCCTCACATTAGGGACCCGAGGAGGGGAGGGGGGAGCAGCACTGGGTGGAGCAGGCAGTTGAGCTTCAGTGTCTTCCCAGCCAGTCCCGCTCCACGCAGCATCTGTTCCGCCAGTCCTGGTGTCTCATAGCCTGTGGGGTGTCTGGATCCTGTGGGACAAGCCACAGCGGCTCTCGTCCACTCCATCACTTGGGCCTGCCACACAGCCCTTTCCTGCTCAGGGCCCCTCTCTCAGCCAGCTGCCTCTTGTGTCACCTGCTGTTTGGGTTGGAGCTGTCATCCCAGGGGTGGGAGGTGCTGCTCCAGATCCTGAAGGGCTTACCTTCTGTTCTTCTCTCCCGGGGAAGTGAGGTGCGGGATGCATTAGCGTGTCCTTTCCTGGAGGGGGCATCCTGGCATGCCCCAGGCTGTTGGGCTCCTGGAAATTGTACTTGGAGCACTGGGCCTTCAGTCTGCACAGGGCCTGGACCTTTCCAGAGACTCGCACACACTAGCCACTTCTTGCACGTTTAGTGTGAGTAGCATGATGTCCCTGGTGTAGTGGGCTGGTGTGATGTTTTTCTGAGCGTCCAGATGTTCCACGTTGCTTCGGACTGTTTTGTAACAGCTGGCAGGAGCGTTATCACCAGCTTGCGGCAAAATTGTAAATGGAAGTTGTTCCAAGTGAAAGTGTGTGGCCCTCTTTAGGTAGAGAGCTGGAAAAGAGCACAGTGGCTCACTCTGTCCACATGCCATGTATCTGAGGCCATCTGAATCTGCTCTAGCGAAGGAAACCATCCTTCACGGAGGCCGCAGTTGGGGCAACTGCTTGTGTTCCTTGTGGTTCATTGTCATCCCCCAGGATCCACCTGGTTGCATGCAGGGACCAGGTTGGTCAGTTAGATGGAGACCGTCCCTGGTCCTGTGTATTTTTAGGGGTGGTATTGATACCTGCCATTCCTCAGGATGCTGTATTTTTCACTTTCTACCTGGGTGAGGGGAGAGGACAGTGTGAAATTCAGAGGCTTCCTCTTGGCCTCTCCACTATGTAGCCCTTAACCACAGGCCAAGAACTGAGTGGACCCATGGAGCCAGACCTGGCCTAGGATTCCCATTTACAGCCTGGCCCTGTAGGCCCCACTCTAGTATGTGCCCATGATTACACTTTGGGTTCCTGGGTAACAGCCTAACTTGGACCCTCTTCTAGCAGTTCCTGGAGTATTTGGGTATTCCCTTTGGCCCAGTATATGTTTACCCCCTGGAAGAAGGACTTTATTGAGTACAGTTTCTGTGCTGTTGCCGAGTCTCCCCCACCAACCTACACCACCTGTGGGGGGCTGCTTCTAGCAGCCCCTCCAGCCTTTCTCCTGTGATAATTATGCCTCCCTCTAATACCCTGCAGGACTTTGCTGGCTAAGTGCTCCAACGTCCCTCTGTTCTTTGGTGGTCCAGGTTTTCCCATTGCTGTTGGCCCAGTCTCTTGGCTCTGGCCAGCAGAGCAGCCAGCCCTGAACTTCTCCGTGATGTTGGTGCCCCTTACCAGCACTGTCCCTGTCGGCCTAGGCAATGGTGTATGCTCTGGGTGCTCCAGGGAACATCGTCATCTGATAGGTTTTGGCTCTTCATAGTTTCATCCACTCTACTCTCCGCATCTCTGAGCCTTTTACTCCTGTCATCTGATGCTGGCCATGGAACTCTCAGCAGTTCTGTCTCATTGAGTCTGGACTTTTGCTTTCTCCTTGGCCTCATAACCATCTCTAGAGAGTGTTGCCAAGGTGTTAAAGCCAGTATTCTGGGATAGTGCTCCCAATGAGCAAAACTCCTCTTTCCAAGTTGATGTTCTAACCTTGTTGGCCCAGGACCTCAACATTCCATCTTGTACATACTTTGCTGGTTTCTACTGGTGCGTGTTGCTGTGTCCTACACTTTCTTCAGAGCATGGTCCCTCACTTGCCTTAGCTGGTCCAGCCCATCTGAGGCCTGGTATGTTGTGACTTAACCCTTATTGGCTCAGCAGTTAGGAGAGGAGATGGGATGCAGGAGTTGGGGATGTGGGCGTGTCTTGCAGGGCAGAGGTCTTAATGCAAGAAAATTCTTGCTCTTCATAGGAAGTAGTAGTCACTTTTGCAGACTCAGGTGCAAGGGAGTCTAGGGATTCAAGATTTTCAACCCACATGTCCCTCTCTCAGCTGCCTGGAGGCCATTCTTTGCCTGTCCGAGTTAGGCCTTAGCATTCTGTCAGTCTCTAAGAGACGAGCAGCTTCTTTGTGTGCTACAGAGCATGTTTTCTGGCTTTCACACTTAGTGTTTAATCGTTGATTAGTTTTTCTCAGCTTTTTGCATTTTTTTCCAGAAGTGTCAGTGGAGCTTGGCAATGCCCACAATTCTCCTGGCCTTATCAGTGCCATTTCCCCATAGATCTCAAGCACCAGCTCCTGTGTACTGGCTAATGCATTCCCTTTTATGGTGCACCATCCCACTTAGCTCTTGCACTTGTCACCTTGTGCTCTCTGTCTCCCATCTGTCACCAGTGTTGTGTGCTCATTGTCAGCCAGGTCGGTGATCCAGCTCCAGACTCCCATTTTAGCATCTTTCTTGAAACCACTCTAGCACCATCTGTCACAGACTGGGTTCCTTTGAATCAAACTATGTGATTATTTTTTAGGTTATCCCCTTGGGATCCTCACCTTGGGAAATGGAGGGGACAGAAGCTGGAGTTGGGCACAGTGAGAAGTGGGCTGTGATGTGTCCCAGCAAAGGCCCCAGCCAGCCTCACAGGGTTCTCCAGAGCTGGGATGGCCCTTCAACATTGTCCTGAGTTGGGACAAAGGGGGTGGGTATTTATAGTCCTCAGTTAGCCATTGGATGTGGGCTGCCTCTGAAAGGATGCGTGACCTGGGAATGCTGAGGTCACTCTCCAAGGTGACTGTGAGCTAGCTGAGGGCCATCTGCTGACAGCGTTCCTAGCAGCCTTGCTGAAGGCTCTCTTAGGCAGGGACATCTCCCAGTGCCCCATATGTCATGTCGGGCTCTGAGCTCTGATCCTTTTCCCAGTTTTTCCACATGGCCATTTGTCCAGTATTAACTGTTTAGCGTTTTGAAAGTTTCTATCTTCAACAGAACTTAGAAACATCAAGTTAGAAAAGGAGCAGAAGTAGTACAACGAATTGGGTTCTTTATGGTTTCCCAAGACCTGTGCTGTCTAATACAGGAGCCACTAGCTACGCATGGCCGCTTAAATAAATGAAAATAAAACTAAGAATTCAGGTGCTTAGGCACATGGCTGGTGGCTCCTGGACTGACTAGCACAAGTGTGGAACATACCCACACCAGGGCCCACCACTCTGCAGGTTCTTGTGAACCTCTGTGCAGGCGTCTCCCGACCCCAAATATGTCCTTTCCTTTAGAATCTCCTTCTTGAAATTGTGCATGCATATGGTCTCCTTTAACATGGTTTATTTGGAAGACTGTTAGACCTTTACAGGAAAATGCTGGTATCTGATAATTTTCAGTATCTATCTCAGAAATTTATCTAATAGTCAAGGAGTTTAAGATATGGATGAGCTATCCCTTCTAAAAGATTGAGAGGCCTATGTCTATAGCCATTTGCCTTAGAAAAGAATACTTAAATATCTAGGCTATTTTATAAAATCCTATAGATCTTACCTGGTCACTAAGTGAAGCAATGGCAAGTAAAATTGAAAATTGCATTTCGTAATATTTTATCACATTTGTTTCTCAAGGAGGAAAGCCAAGCATCTGTGATTTCAGTGGATCCAATTTTTCAAGTTCCAATTTCAAAGGCAGTTCAACTGACTACAGATGACGCCATAAAAACCACTCTTCTGTTGGAATTGGACATTTCAGTAAGTTATAGAATTTATTTCTTAGCACTGTTATGTTGTCAAGCAGTGCGGAGACTTGCGTGCTGTTGTAGTCCACACACTCAGGAAGGAGGAGAGCCTCTGACAGGACATCTGACCTCTTTATTCTTGACCCCTCATTTTTCCCCACCTCACACTCCTTATCTTTTCACTTCAGGAAGGGGCTAACATGAGGAGTCACCCTGGAGGTGACTCAACTTGAAAGAACAGCGTTGCTCCCTTACTCAGTAAGTGATGAAAGAGTAATGGAATCAGAGCAGCATTTTCCGTGGGAGAAGAGTCCTGAGCAAGGCAGCTGCTCATCTGAGGTCAGCCAGTAGCTGGAAATAGAGCTCAGACCGGACAGGCCTAGAATGCTTCTTTTCTCACAGTGGTGGTCTCATTCCTTTGAGACTCTGGAAAAAGTCACAGACCCCTCCCCCACCCAGAAAAAGAAATATATAGACATTTTTCATATAGCTTCAGAGGCTTATATGCTGCCTCTCTCCTCAATCCACGAACCCAACCCCTGCCCCCGATCATTAGCCTCAGTTAGGAAGCTACCTGCTAATCCTGTAACCTCAGTGCCTGAGTTAACGTCTTCAAAGTCACTCAGCTATGTATTTTGATGGAGGTTCTGGGAAGTGGGTTGTGCTTTCAGAAAAGGGTGTGTCAGGGCTGTCCATGTAGATTTCCTTGAACCTCCTAATAGGGAAAAAATGACAAGCATCAAAACTAGATGGTTTTGCTTATATACTGTTGAGTAGTTCTACATTCCTTTGGAACATTTAAATAATCCATACTGTTAAATATTCTTTGTCCACCAAAGCATTTTGTTTTTTATTCTGTTCTACACTTTTGTCATAAAGTGGTGAGGGTTGGCCAGTAGGTGGGTTCAGTCTGTGCCCCTCACAGGCCAGGGCTGTGAGCATGTGTGGTCAGAGGCTCTCTCCAGATATTGCCGTTGTTCTCCATCACTCTGTAAATGGCCGTGCTATTCATTCATAGTACCAAGCTAGGTGCTGTAACCTTTTGTGCTCAGTAAAGAAAACTAAAGTGTCATCTGCCACCCCTCTTCTTCCCCTAAAGGAAGGAAATTGAGAATCAATGCAGACAGCCTTAAGTAGTTTCTCTCCCTCATAATGTGTGTTTTCATAAGAGGAGTTTTTATGTTGATAAAACATTACTTACTAAGGCACCTTAAATGAGAAAGGTTTTAACTAACGTTGTAAAAAATACTGAAATGATTTAAAGCAAATCATTGGATAACTGAAATTTTTTTCTTTAAAGTAACTCTTGGGGCGCCTGGCTGGCATGTGACTCTTGATCTTGGGGTTGTGAGTTGGAGCCTCACATTGGGTGTAGAGATTACTTAAAATTAAAAAAAAAAAAAAACTCGTAATGAAAGTAGATTTGTTCAGTTGGGCTTATTTTTTTGCAGTTAGAATCATTTTGTTTCTAATTCGTATTTTTAAAGGATCATATAATAAAAAACATGCTTTTGTTACCCCACAACTAAAACTCTTTAACTCATGGGCTTTTTTTTTTTCTTTCATTGTTTCTTCTCTAGAAAACAGATTTTTCCTATCAGCCTGGAGATGCCTTCAATGTGATCTGTCCCAACAGTGATTCTGAGGTACAAAACCTTCTCCAAAGACTGCAGCTCACGGACAGAAGAGAGCACTGTGTCCTCTTAAAAATTAAGGCAGACACAAAAAAGAAAGGTATGGCCCTGATCTCTTCTTAGGGTGTCATTGGGCTAACAGATTGGAGGTGACAAGTGCAAGGACCCCACCCTACATCCTGTGTGATGGCTGCACGTGTCTGAGGTTGGCCATGGGTCAGGGGGCAGAACCCTGGCGCTCTCTGACTTGTGGGTTTCTTAACTTTACATCAGGTACACTGAATGGGATGATGATGGATTGTATGCTTATTTGGACACTGCTGGACAGTAAAAATGAATGTAGCTATAGTCTTGGAGAAGCCGGTAGCTTAATTGGGCTGATTTGTTAGTTTGCTTTTGGAGTTAGCATTATTTTGTTTCTGAGTTATACAAGAGTAGTCCTACAATAAACGTTTATTCTATGAACCTTTTTAAAGTTTTTTGGTCATGTGTATTTCTCATAGCATATTTATTGCTTATTGAATATATAAAAACATTTTTTCATGATTAAAGGAAGTTATTTAGTTATTTGCTTAGAATCTTGAACTGGAGTTCCATCAGTTCTAAAATTCTTTTTGCGAATAATATGCAGTGTTAGTGGACAAGTGCCATCTTTTGGCTTTTTGTTCCTTGGCTTTGGATAATTTCCCTCTTGTTTGGTAGACCTAGATTTGGTATCTTTACGAAACATACCAAAATCTATCTTTGGTAGATTTAGGTGTGGCTAATAATGCTATGGAATTTATAATTCTTCTACTATTTTTTTTGGCAAGGGGTTTCCCCCCCCGCCGCCCCCGCATTCATTTTGGAAATTTTTTTGACTGCATAAACATTGCCACAAATCATGTTATACCTTCCTAGCACTATAATGTAAAGTATACAGTTAATTGGTTTTTTAAGAATGCGGAAATGTTTTATTCTTTACTTTCTGTGTCATGGACTCTTTCCTGTCTGCCTGAAAAGGAGCAGCCTTACCCCAGCATATACCTGAGGGATGTTCTCTCCAATTCATTCTGACCTGGTGCCTTGAAATACGAGCAGTTCCTAAAAAGGTACTTTTCTTTGGGTAACTATTTAAAAATGTACTTAGCTCTGTGTAGGATTTATTAAATCTGGTATTCGCCCTTTAAAGGCTTTGAAAATATGGCTTTCACACCATGTTAGGCCCCAAGGGTGTGTAGTATTTTTGCAATTTTCATAGATATTTTTATGTTGTGCTTATATTGAAATTCTGTTTTCTACAGAAACAAGATTTTTAAAGTAGAGTTTTTTTCTTATTTTTACTAGATATTAATTTGATGTGCTACATTAATCAGTGATTAAAGTGACCCCAGATGACCTTGTGTTATCTAGCTGTACTTCACCCTTTTTGTGATTGATGACAGGAAGCTTATGAGAGTGCAGGCTTACCCCTGCTTGCCACCCATTTAATGTTGAGATCTCTTCTGTGTGAAAGTACATAATTCTTTACTATTAAGTCAGAATTTTTCAGGAAAAAATGAAAGGTTCTGGGAGATTATATTGATGTTTGGATGTACGTGGACAGAATGATCCACTAGAGGTCAGGAGGATGCCGGGAGCTATCTTTTAAAAGATGCTGTAACTGATTCCTTCTAAGCCTGTCCCTCACATGGGCATGAATGGGGGAGACTTCCCAGCTGTGCTTTGCCAAATTCGTATTGCCAGTGCGCATAAAAATGCTATTATCAGGCTGCCCTCCACAAGGCCTTTTTTATGCTCTGTCTTATTAATGTGTTTGTTGCATGCAGTCTTCGGGAAGCCAACTCCTTTAGAGAGAGGCTCAGACCTAGATATAATTTGAATAAGTGTAGTATTCACTGTGATGAGAACTTCTTGATTAAAAGTCAGTTTCACAATTTTAGTTCAGCTCTACCATTTCATAAAGCATGTAAGGTAGACATGTTTTTCCTTAATATAAAAGTAATGCGCTCATAAAAATTCTGGACACAAAATTAAGTAACTTGGGAAGCAAAAGACCTTTATAATCAAATCCTCAGGCTCAACCCTTAAATTTTGTTTCGCTAAGAAAAAAACGAGGTCCTCTGGTATATGTGCTTTTCTGTCACACGCCTTCTTACCTAAATAGAACTTGGGAGTTTGTATACCCCAGCATGGAAAAGGTATCTTACCCGGGCTCTGTGCATAGACGTGGGGTGCTCATTGATCCCACATGGTTTCCCAAGTGCTTGTTGCACGTTCGGCCCTGTGTCTGGCATTTTGAAGAAGGCATGTGATTTGTTGGTCTCTTAGGATTTTTTTAGGCAGGACTTCTGAGCTGAGCCACTGAGCACCTGTGACCCTCACAAGAGGAGTGATGTCATCCTCCCTGGTAAGGGAGTCCGGGACACGAAGGTGCTTGAGCCATGGAATAAAAAAGTCCCTGTTAGCATTTCACTTAGCATTTGATGCAGATTACTTGCTTAATTGCTTTGTTCTTAACCCTTGAGTGGTAAGAGCTATATATGTCATATTTGGAATACGTTGAAACCAAAAGTCGTTATTAGCAAGTTGGTCTTTTGTCCAAGAGTTTGGACATAGCTCTGTCTTTGAGGCTTGGGGTTCAGGATGTTATTGCTTTGCTTTCTTCATTTATATTCTCCTCCTCTTTCTACAGTGAGTCTGAGGTGACTAAGAGAGTCCACGTGCAGGAGGCTTCTTGATGTTCTGGCCCTGCCTGTCTTTTCAGCCTTTGTCCCGTGTCCGCATTGCCCTGCATCCACACGGAACTGTTCCTGGCCCCGGGAGTGTGCTTTTGCCTGCCTCCTGTGCCTTCATGGAGCTGGGCCATCGGCTTAGCCCTTCTTCACACTTTGTTTCTCTCCTGTGGCCAGCCTTCAGCTCGGGCTTGCGTTCTGGGGCACGTTCGGCTTCAGAAGCCCCTGACATCCTGGGTGTGCCCCTGTTGGGGTAGTCAGGCTCTTGCATGCCGTCCCTGGCCCGTGAGCCTTGCCAGCCAAGGAGCTGTCGTGCCCACCGCCTGTTGTATAAAGAGAACTTAACAGCTGTCCGATGAACGCAGAGGCCCAACTTGTAATCATCCGCTACGACAAGAAAAGTATTTTGTCTTGAGTTAAAATTGATGAGTTAGGAGATTTCTGGTCATTGTTACTCAGATATATTGGACATGTAGTTTGAGATCATACTTGGGACTGCTGAGGTGGTTTAGGAAACAGGAAAGGTGGCTAAAAGTCAAACATGGAAGGTGATTTTCCTTAACAGGCTGACATTAAAGCAATTAAGTTAAATTCTCTTTTCCTAATCACACTCCTAGTCACTTTTTCTTGGATAATTGGGCACATCCCCAGCTAGAGCCTAACCGGAGATTTGAGCGGCCTGACCACACGTGGATCTTTCAGTCGGCTTCCTTTGCCTTGGCTGCAGGCGTTGTTGCGAGCCCTCTCGGACTACACCAGCGACGGGCCCGAGAAGCGAAGGCTGCAGGAGCTGTGCAGCCGCCAGGGCGCGGCCGATTACAACCGTCTCATGCGAGATGCGCACGCCAGCCTGTTCGACCTGCTCCTCGCTTTCCCGTCCTGCCAGCCGCCGCTTCGTCTCCTGCTCGGTGAGTGGCCACTCTCCCCGCCCCTGCACCCAGCGGGCCTTTTTGTTCAGAGCCCTCTGCTTGGGGGCCGCCCTCTGCAGTCTGTCTGGCACGTGGGAACACGGCTCCATGAGGAAACGTCGGGGTGTGTTCAGGGCCTCCTGGGAGGCAGAAAGAATGCCTCTGCCTAGATTGTCTGTCTCCTATTTCTTCCTTCTACCATTGTCACTGGCCTTTGCTCTCATTTCAGCCAGTCTTAATTCTCTTTCTTTGGGTCAGCATTTAACATCTTTTCTGTTCATTTAGCTAGTTTTCAGAAAGGTTTTTTTGTTTGTTTGATTTTTGGTATTTTTTTTTTTTTAGTCCAATGTTACCTAAAAATGAGCTTCCCAAGGAAAAAAATTTTTTTTTTCTTTTTCAAAGCTGATGAACAGGGGCGCCTGGGTGGCTCAGTCGGTTAAGCATCTGCCTTCGGCTCAGGTCATGATCCCAGAGTCCTGGGATCGAGCCCCGAATCGGGCTCCCTGCTCAGCGGGAAGCCTGCTTTTCCCTCTCCCACTCCCCCTAGCTTGTGTTCTCTTTCACTGTCTCTCTGTCAAATAAATAAATAAAATCTTTGAAAAAAAAAAAAGGAGGGGGCATCTGGGTGGCTCAATTTAAGCGACTGCCTTCAGCTCAGGTCATGATCCTGGAGTCCCAGGATCGAGTCCCGCTTCGGGCTCCCTCCTCAGTGGGGAGTCTGCTTCTCCCTCTCCCGCTCCACTCTCTTGTGCGCTCTCTCTTTCTCTCTCACATAAATAAAAATCTTTAAAAAAAAAAAAAAAAAAAAGGCTGATGAATAGTAGACGTAATTGACAGAGGTTAATGCGGTGTGCTGTCTGTGCGGAAGACAGGAATGCCGCCGTCTGGCCGAGTCCGGCTCAGGGTTCTCCAAGGGCAACGGAGACCCCTCCCGCTGTGCCAGTGCAGGTGGCCTTGTTCAGGGTGCGCCAGGCTTGAAGCTGGGGCGAGACATGTCACAAAACAGTCAAATGGAAGATGATTCTGTTTTCGTCCTCATTGTCTCCTGGGGTCTTCATGTGCACAGAAGAGAGAAGATCCTCTTTGAGGAACTAGTGTCAGGAGAGGGGACTTTCAGTGGCAGCCTCACTAGGGATTGGAGACATTAGCGAGCAGCAGGAACTGTGAAAATTGGGCAGGATTGTTAAACCTTGAGTACTTTCCTGTGCTGGTAATTTTCTCCTCTCCTCTCTCTTTTCCTGTAATGATAAGTAATAAAATGTTTAAAATTTGCATTTATCTTTGGTGGTAGGAAAATGTGTATCGTGCTTTTTACTTTTAGGCCCCAGGGTCCCCCGATGTCCAGTACAGTTTGGAGTGTTCTCCTTTATTAAGTCAGATCCTGCTTTCTCTCCCTTTTACTATTCTTTTTCCTTCTCAAAATGGTGAAGTTACTAGATGAGGTCGCCCTTCCCTCTTCCCTGTATTCAAACTCACACTGCTCCCCTTCTCAGTTTAGAATGAATACAGGGGTTGGGAGAATAATCAGAACATACGTAGGGAAGTTGTAAGAACTCTTGTAAAGCTATCCAGCGTATGAGAATGTTTTAGTTCTTTTCATGGATTTGCTGGATATTTTTTTAACTTTTATATAGCATTTATTATGTAGTTCTATAAAAACTAATAAAGGAATTGAGACTTAAAAAATTTAAATTATTTTCCACTTTAAGTAAACAATGTATCTAAAGCTTAGTATTATGTTGAGCCCTCTTTTAAGCGTTATTCTGTTACTAAATTTTAGAAAGGTCTTTCCAGGTTTTTGCCAGATAACTATTAAAAATATAACCTTGATAAGACTGTTGAATCACAGACCTGTACCTCTGAAACAAACAATACATTATATGTTAAAAAAAAAAAAAAA